TTCTGTGTCTGTGCGAGTAACAATGGTTTTTTCTGTGTCTGTGTGGAGTAACAATTCTGTGGCCCTAAGTAAATGTTTTCTGTGGCCCTGGTACAGTACTCTGTGGTCTGTGCGAGTAACAAATTCTGTTGTGTCTGTGCGAGTTAATCAATTCTGTGGCCCTAAGTAAAGTTTCTGTGGCCCTAAGTAACAATGTCTCTGGCACTCATAACACATTCTGTCTGTCCCTGAGTAACAATTCTATTCTGGCACTCACAAGTAACAATATTCTGTTCTGTCCTGAGTAAAAATTCTGTGGCCCTAAGTAAAGTTTACTGTGGCCCTGAGTAACAATTCTCTGGCACTCCGTAACAATTCTGTCTGTCCCTGAGTAACAATTCTCTGGCAGCTCAGTAACAATTCTGTCTGTCCCTGAGTAAAAATTCTGTGGCCCTAAGTAAAGTTTTCTGTGGCCCTGAGTAACAATTCTATAGTGGCACTCCGTAACAATTCTCATGTCTGTCCCTGAGTATGAATTCTGTGGCCCCTAACTAGCGTTTCTTTGTGCCCCTAAGTAACAGTTCTGTGGCCCTGAGTAACAATTACCTGTGCGAGTAAACAATTCTGTGGCCCCAAAGTCACAGTTTTGTGGCCCTAAGTAACAGTTCTGTGTCTGTACGATTAACTTGTCTGTGTCTGTGCGAGTAGTTACAATTCTGTGGCCCTAAGTAACAGTTTCTGTGGCCCTTCAGTAACAGTTTCTGTGTCTGTGCGAGTAACAATTCTGTGTCTGTGCAGTAGTAACAATTCTGTGGCCCTAAGTAACAAGGTTCTGTGGCCCTAAGTAAAGTTTCTGTGGCCCTAAGTAACAATTTGCCTTTGTTCTCTGGCACTCAGTAACAATTCTGGCTGCGGGGGGAGTAACAGTTCTGTGGCCTCTGAGTAACAATTCTCTGGCACTCAGTAACAATTCTGTCTTGTCCCATGAGTAACAATTCTGTTGGCCCTATGTAAGTTAAAGATTTTCTGTGGCCCTAAGTAACAATTCTCTGGCACTCTAAGTAACAATTCTGTCTGTCCCTGAGTACAATTCTCCTGGCACTCAGTAACAATTCTGTCTGTCCCCTGAGTAAAAATTCTGTGCCACTAATTAACAAGTTGTCTGTCCCTGGCCTAAGTAACAATTCTCTGTGGCACTCGAGTAAGTAAATTCTGTCTGTCCCTGAGTAACAATTCTCTGGTCCCCTCAGTAACAATTCTGTCTGTCTCCTGAGTAACAATTCTCTGGCCTCAATAAACAATTTCTGTCTGTCCCTGAGTAACAATTCTTGGCACGGTGTAACAATTCTGTCTGTCCGCTGAGTTTGAATTTCTGTTGGCCATAACTAGCGTTTCTTTGTCCCCTAAATAACGATTCTGTGGCCCTCATTAAACAAGGTCTGTGTCCCTGAAGTAATGGTGGTTCTCTGTCCCAAGTAACAGTTTCTCTGTCCCCAATTATCGTTTCTGTGGCCCTAACTCTTTGTCCCTGGTCCCCTAGTACAGAAGCGGTCTTGCCTCTGTTCAATAACTGCAGGCAAATGAAGAATTCCAAAAATGGCCGCTATTTATAGCTCGACCATTTACACAGTGCTAGGCTGGCTGGCTGCTGATTGGCTGATGCGATCACATGTAGTTGAGAATCATTATGCAGCGCGCCTTGGTCTGCGCCCTTCCCAGACATCGCCGCACATGTCAGCCAGCCGCCATTTTCTGAAGACATTCCGCGTCCGAATTAGGCTATTTTTTCGTCTGCGCGAATCGAAATTTTCCGATATTCGACACGAATTCCACTTCTGACATCACCGATTTTCAATTTTCTGAAAATATTTCTCGATTTTATTCGCGTCGCTGTCCACGAAGCTTGGCTATTTTTCGGATTCGGCAGTAAATCGAAATATTTTTGGTGCCTTCCGATATTCGTAACTCATGAATTCCCACTTACCGGATTACTTCCACAATAACCCGCTCATCTCTATGTTCATGTTACTACTGCTTGGATACTGCTGAGATGGTGGAGAGTAACAGTCAAAAATTTGCAATACAGGATGCACCATTACTCTTGGGGGTGGGGGCCCATGCAAATCTTGACTATTATATATACTTGAACCAAAGTGGTTCAGGGCTATCACAAGGGCCACAAATACTATCCAAAAATTTTTCATAACATTTTCATAACCAGAATACTGCTGATCGAATAATGCAAGCCCAGTTTTATCTAGTTGCAATACATCACATGGAATCTGATTATGATATATACCATTTATTATAAATTATATATATCAACCTATGATATATATATTGACGCTGGGAGAAAAAGCAACGTGAGCCGATATAAGCTCCACATATGGCCATACAGGAAACACCTCAGTTTAGGCCACATAAGCATTGAATCCTAGGTGACAAACTTTTCAAGTAAAGTACATGGATTTTTTTGTAATTACTCTGTACAAAAATCCATTTCTTGGAGATTGCACATCACAGGAATTTAACAGAGTAGCGCTAAAAACCAAACCACAGGTGGTATTCCATCTGGGTTATTATTTGCAACCTTATAGTGTGATTTTGGAACGCCAGGGAGTACCAACACAAACAATAGACATTCCCCAGATTATATAAATCCTCTCCCATTACAGTCTAAATACCTCAGTCTTGATTTGTACTAAGCTATTATATTCCACTAGAAATTAATTTACAGGTTAAGTACAAAAAAAAATCCAGTTTTCCCTTATTGCATGAATTGTCAGGGACTCAGTTTCATTATACTCTAATATTAACAACTTCCAATATGTGCAGGTAGGTTAGTCCCAGCAATTGGCAGATAGTATTATTCAGAAAAACAAATTATATTTTGACGAACCCAGGGGATAACCAAACACAGTGTACCTTTGTCACCCCAGGAGGGAGGAGATGCTATTGTTGTACGATAGGATAGAGGAAAGTTTTTTCCATGGTTAGTGGAAACAGACATCCTGCCAAAACTGATTAGCTGTTTACAGGAAGATCATTGCTCATGAAAAACAAAAATGCTGAGACCTTAACAAGATGGCATGCCGCGTACAGCTCCATGTCTCTGTTGTGCACAATCATTACAGTGGGCATCGTAATTGACGTTGGATCTACTTCAGGGTACATTTTTTAATTTTTGTTTTTAATAAAGGACTTTTCTTCTGTAATTTTTAACACTAAGCTTTTTTTTTTTGTAAATGAGTACTGGTACCATGTACCCCCATACTCATTCACATGGGGGGGGGGTGCTGGGATCTGGGGATACCCTTCTTAAAAGGAGCTTCCAGATTTCAATAAGCCTCCTGCCCACACATCCCCACAACCACCGGCTACAGTTGCGGGTAAGAGCTCCCCTGCCCCAAGTTACCCCCCATGTTGAGGACATGTGGCTTGCGCCCCCTCCCCTTTCCTGACCTGCATGCTCAGATAAGGGTCTGGTATGAATTTTGGGGGGACCTCCACACCATTTTTTTTACATTTTGGCATGGGGGTTCCCCTCAAAATCCATACCAGACCTGAAGGGCTTGGTATGTATAGTGAGGGCCCCATGTCATTTTTTAAAATGTATATGCCAGCAATTCTTTTTACATTCAGCTGAAACATTAAATAATGTTTTCACTACTAAAATGCAACATAACTTAATAATATAACTCACATAGTATTTTAATAGCTGTGCGGTATCTTACCGCATACTCAGATGGTAAGATACCGCTTTGTGAATTGTCCCTGTTCGAAGATTGCGGTCAACTTTCATTAGGTTCGAATGTTATACAGCATACCAAACAAGGGGGGTGTTGGGCCCATCACTATTTAGGACATTTTATTCTCACTTCCTGACCATTGTCAGAGGGATTTTCCCACCTATTAAATTTCCTCTCAATTTTTGTTGCACCTCTGATGCGAGGAGAAATCTTACAAAAGGGCACACAGACAACAATAAAAACCTGTCAAAGAAATGAACCATTTCCTACTATAAACAAAGCTAGAAAAAAAACTCATTGGTTGGGTTTCTAGATATTACAACATAAATTAGTAAGGCCAGACAAGACACATCAAAGGATATTACAAGAGCTTTGTGGTCTTAGCAATTCTAATCACTTCTTACCAAGATTACAAATTTTAACTGATAACATTTCTATCTACTCAGAAAAATGCTGAATGAGAAAATGCACAGCACTAAATTCATTTGTTAACTTGCTAACATAACTTCATCTTTAAAGAGCACTGTATTATCCTGTTTTCTCTCTGATCAGTAACAGAAAAATGATAGCAAGTTCAACATTGCATACCAGCTATTATGAACAAAAAAAATGCAATTTTATACCAGTTAAAAAAAGCCAAAAGCAGTTACAGGAATGAGGATCTCTTACTTCTGTCATATTCTTCAGGAAATTCATTTTTGTTATATTTTGTTTGAAATGCTCCATAATTGGGTAAGGGTGGATGCTCTACCAATGTGCTACAAACTTTTTTTTTTTTAACGACTTCCCATATTTATACTTTATAGGCTCTGTTATATATACAAAATCTTTGTGACACTAAGTGTATATCCTTTGTAGAGTCTAGAGGTTAGACCTCTTCACCTGAGCTCACAGCTCTGTACCCTCACTGGAACTATTAAAAAGAATCATCATAGATATAAGAAGCCAGTAGGCAATTCATATAATCACAGTCTAAAACAGGCTCCAAGTGCACTGAATTTTTTATGTAGGTTTCTCATGAATAAAAGGGTGTGTTTTGCCCTTGGTTTCATAGTAGGTAAATTAGCATACTCAGCTTGTTCACGAAAACCCATTTTTCCTCCAGCCATTAGTCAAGTATGAAGCCGTTTGTTTGTATAATATTGATTATACTCAATACATTATAATCAATGTATGTGAATTTTAGCTGAAAAAAATTTAAGCCTTACCAAGATCCAGGTGAATTGCAGGAATAAATGAGTTGAGGAAAAATATAAAGATGACAAATCCCAAGACAGACAAACACTTGATTAGAAGGATCTTGTCGGTTATTCCATGCTGTTGGAAAAACAAGTTCTCTTATTAAAGTGTCAGTTCATTAATGCTACTGAAAACTTCTAAAAGGGAGACAAGCTGACATAATGACAACGCTATAAAAGCTATATAGCTGTTTTACAATGAAAAGTAGACCCCTTATAGATGCCTGGAATATTCTTACATAGAAAATCACCAACTGAATACACCTTTCTATGCATAACAATGAATAGTGAGATTTTTAAATGACTAGACAATATGTCTGTATCCAGGGCAAAGTATAGCTAGTACTAGTCACTAGGGATGTGTTTGATCTAAATACAAGTTCAGACCAAACACATACTGTGGATTTAATGGATTTCTAATGTTTTAATTTATCCATACCCGACCATGCATCCATACCCGATTCATGCATACCCGACCATGCAGAATCCCATTCTTTTTAATTGCCCCCTGTTCACAGTTGTACGTTCAGTTTACCTAGGCTTGAAAAAGTACACAAGCTTTTTTCGAGCATTGTCAGGTATGTTTGGCTCCATAGACTTCAACAGAAAAGCTTATAAATGCACAGTGCATGTGTTTTTGCATGCACTTTTATGCTTTAAGAATTCCTCGCCTGCTATAGACCGGATCTCCTTCCCTTGCCAGCCAAGGAAACAAACTACTGAAGCTTGGTATACTTGCAAAAACACCTGTAATATGCCTAATAAAAGACTTTCATATTTATAGGAATATGCCCTGCTTACACCACTCTGTTTAGGAGTGGATGCAGCCTTAAGAATTACTCCATACTAACATTTTTCTATTTGGTTTGATACGTTACCCCAAGCACAGCCTAGCCCCAGCCATTTGTATGAAAATCCACCTTTTTTTTTTTTTTTTTTTTAAACATTCAGCCCCCATCGACTTCAGATTCGGCACCATACTTTAGTAATGTTCACTGAACTCTGCTCAAATTACACCCAGGTATGTTTAGTTCATCACATTTCATACCTTCTTCACACCACTTTTTCATTTGCAGTGGGTGTCAGGAACATACCCCAGCATAGCATTTATATCTAAGCACAGACACCTTAATACAATCACTATGGAATCTGTAAATGTTGATTATGGAAGAACAAGATAGGAGGTGTAAAGTTATTACTAGTTACATAGTTCCATCATAGGTGTCAGGTAGTTTGCATAGGTGTCAATTCCTTGATTTTCATAGCTAAAGATGTACATTTTTGTCAAAATGTTAAAATGACATTGTATGTGGAAAACGCATGGTGTCGAAGACCTCCACCCCTGCTCAGGGATGGTTGTTCCAGTTTGGCATAGATAGCCTCTTTCATGACTCTTGTGAACCAGCTATCAAAAATGTGCACCTCACCTTAAAAGATACTTCCGAGTTCTTCTGACACTCCAGATGCATATAGAATGATTACTTTACTCCATGTGTTCTGTTTCTCTCTACTATTTCATAGTTCTGTGTTTTTGCTTGAGTTTGTGGATGTTTTGATGAAAGTCCAGTCTGGGTAGTCACAAACATTCAAAGCACTCCTGAGATGTCTGTATTCTGTGTCTTTTTCTTTTTTCTTTTTCTCTGTTTGTTGTTAAGAGTCCTAATAACCCACAGTTTGTGTTCCAGGAGGTAGCAGAAGTCAAAAAGCAAACACTTGTCATTTTGGATAGGTTTCCTGTAGACAATGTCCAAGTCACCCCACCTTGATATTTAGGACCTGTTCACACTATGCCCTGATCTAAATAGCACAGGAAGATGCTGTGCATTCCTGTGCAATTCATATGCAAGTCTATGTGGTGCAATTTGAATGGGATGAAATCGCACCGCACTGCACTAAAAGTAGTGCATGTTTCCAGTGTTCTAAGCTTTACCCACATATCATCCACATACAGTACCTGAACCAATACTTGATGTTAATCACCTGAAAGAGTGCAAGGCTCTTCTCCACTTCCTTCATGTACAGGTTAGCTGCAATGGATATATACAATGGGAAACATAGCATAGCCATGCTTCTGTCTGTAGAAGTTATCAGTGTATTTGAAAAAGGTGGTGTTGACCGAAAGGTCCAGCAAGGAATATGCTTGGTCTGGTCTGAATTCTGTTTGACTGTTAAGAGTCTCAATGCATTTCAGATGTTTACCTACAGTTTTATTAACCCTCTGCACTTGGTATACAAGCTTGGAGAAGCAACAAAATGTCTAATATTATAGAAGAGGTCCAGCTAAATATGGATAAATATTAGTAACTATAATGGCTAGACAAGAAAAACAAAACTATTCTACAAATATTGAGTGCTGGAGGTGGAGTGGAGAAGCAAAAGTTTAAAAACAAAATGTCTGTCCTGGTTTCATAAATAAAGCCTTTTGCATTCTGTAGCAAGTACAAGCTGTGGCTTCACAGGAATTGGATGGTTTCCCTAATCAAGTGAAAAGAAAATTCTCCCAATATTACAGCGAAGTATTAGGAACACAAACATTTCAAAGAGCCTCAATGGTGATTGTCCAACATTCCTAGTCCTCTTTACCAACTGTCACCACACTTCTGGAAATTTACAGAAAAAAACATTTGATGCAAAAACAATTATCCAATAATACTATTTAGCTGTAGCTCTATACCTTTTTAATAGGCTGGTAGTGAAGGGTAAGCTCTTCTGTGTGGCCTTCTTGCTGCTATGTGTGTGTGTCCTTTAATACGATTTCCCCTCATCTTCTGTATTAATGAAAACACTGTCACTGGGACATGATGTTGAAGGAATTTTAAACTTTCCTACCTATACCGTGTATTTTTCACCTGAATAAGAAGTGCTTTGCTTAACCACTTGACCTCCAGAAGATTTACCCCCATTCCTGACCACACCATTGTTTGCAATATGGCACTGTGTTATTTTAACTGACAATTGCACAGTTATGCAATGCTGTATATAAGTGGAATTTATGTAATTTTTTCCCACAAATAGAGCTTTCTTTTGGTGGTATTTGATCACCTCTGGGTTTTTTATTTTGCTAAAAATAAATTAAGGTCAATATGTATTCTGCTACTTATTGTTGGTAAAAAAAAATCTAACAGTATATTGATTGGTTTGCGCAAAAGTTAATGCGTCTACAAACTATGTTATATATACTGGAATTTATTTTTTTAATTTTTATACTAGTAATGGCGGCAATCAGCGACTTGTAGCAGGACTGCGATATTGCGGTGGACAATAGGATACTGACACTAATACAGTTATCAGTGCTAAAAATATGCACGGACTCTGTACTAATGACACTGGCTGGAAAGGGGTTAAACATTTAGGGTAATCAAGGGGTTAACGTTGTGCCTAGCTATGTGTAATGTTTGCAGTGTGTCATTTTCACTAGGCATATTGTCACTGACAGGGCACAGCTCTGCTTTGTTTACATAGGTAGAGCTGTGTTCTTTCAGTCTCCTAGATGAACAGCGTGTCCTGGCACTCGCTGAACGGCTTCTGCTGTGACCAATCACAGCAGAGGTGGCACACACGTGTACCCATGACTACTACGTGCAGAATCACATTTATATACATGATTCTGCACAGTGCGGCTGCCCTATAGCAGTATACAGTATCTCCTATGGGAAGGTCGCAAATGGTTAATGCAGTTTCATGGTGTCATTAGTTGACCTGTATGTATATCCTATAGTATAGTAAATCTTTACATTCCTGTGTCAGAAGTATGTTTGTGTTCATATATGAGGCATGTTATATGGCACTGCAGAGGTTAATGTATGACCCATGTAGTGTGAGAGATAGTTCCTGTCAGGGGCGGACTGAACATTCGGAAACTCAGGCACTGCCCGAGGGCCTGGGGTCAGTAAGGGGCCCCATGAGATGCCCCTGGTACCTTTCATAGGCTTTTTTGGGTGTGGTTTGAGTGTGGGTGAGCACACAGGGGCCCCATAATCCCCTATTGTCCTGGGGCCCCGTGACTTGTCAGTCCGCCCCTGGTTCCTGTTAAAACAATATATATACCACAATCCATAAGTCTCCCAGTCTAGTGCTCTGCTGATGAGAGCTAAATAGTGATTAGATCTAATTAGATACAAACAGAGAGATCCCCATGCAGTTGCAATATGCAATTCAGTGGCATTTGCAATGGAACACAGAAGAAATGGGGAGTCATGCATTGGACACTGTGTCCCCAGTCTAGCTAAAGGGTAAACAAAATCCTTTTTTTTTTTATTAGGAAACACACACAGCACAGGTGCATGTTTAATGGATATACAGAAGGCACAATTCCCCAGCCACAACTCAAGCAAGTCTATAACATAAAACGTATGCAGCCACTATCTAAATTTGTTCATGGGAAGTATGTAAAGGCAATAAAGAGACAATCATTGTAATAAAGTCTGTTGCCCTATGATGTGACACATTGAATTTCAGAGAAACATCCTGGAGATATGCAGAAGTTACCTGTATGGACTCTGATTTTAGGATTTATAGAACTGGCAACATGGGAAAGAATGGGGGAAGGGGACTACACAAATACTACAAGAAACAGAAAGAGAAGATGAAGATACAATGACTAAAAGAAAGCATAAGATGTCCAGAAAGAAGGTAAAAGGGCATAGCAAAGGAGGAAAAAAAATGTTAAGAATGAGCACAAGGGAAAAGAGCAATAAGAGTCATGACAGTAGGAGACTGGATTGTCCCCATGAGCCCAAGCTGAATGCTGCCAGAAGATCACAGGAAGTTTTCAAAAAGTACGCTGGTCCAAGCTATCCATTTATTATAGAAGAAAATTAAGCAAGCGCTAATGATCAAATAATAAAAAAGATATTAAAAAAAGAAAAAATTATATGTAACTAAAATGAAATGAAATGAAAGCAGCTGAACACACTAAAAGGTAAACCATATGCCTTCAAAGTAATCTGTAAAATATATTAGCGCTGCACCTATATATATTTTACATATCCATTTATTATGGAACTATATCCAGCACAGTTAAATAGAGCAGTCTCGCACCATCCAGTGTCCAAAGGTGCCAACAAATTCTGATATTCT